AAGTGTTCCATGTCCTCATGTGTCCTTCAGTGAATGTAAGAAAAGACAAACATCCGCTTTATATTCCCTGACTGGTGCGTTGGTACGTTGGTCATGCAAACAAATAGGAAACAAGCGACCGTGTGAAAAATGAGAATCCGATTTATAAAAGTTGATAATTAAATTGAATAATTTGATTCAAATAAATTCAAAGTAATAAAGGTGGGATTTGGGGGGTGACGGGGGTAACGGCGCCTCACACGCGGCCTCCGTGTCTTCCAGGTGACGAGGAGCCGCCTGCCGTGACGTCGCTCCGCTGCGGCGCCGCCGCCCTCCGTAAGGCGCAGCTGCACCACCACCACTTGGAGCACAGCGACGGGCCTGTGGCGTCGCTGTAGGAAGGGACGCCTCCGGCCAATCAGAAGAGAGGTTCAGCCCCGGTGATGTCACCTCAGGACCCTAGAAAAGGTCCTCTGTCATCCGACCGAAGGGGCTTTGTTCGCTCTGCCTGGAGGATTTTATTTTGAAGGACTGGATCTCCAGACGCTGGCAGAGGGGACCGGCACTCCGGCACTACGCCGCGATCAACCGATTGATTGATTGACAGCTGACTCATGCGTGACCGGATGTTGCGGCGGCACTTTTGGATGCAGGAACTCGGCAACTACATGGAAACGAGCGGAACGCGGCTTCAGAGCTTTTGTTTTGTTTTAAGCAAAAGCTGCTGGATGTAGAATGTTGACGACATCAGAACATATTTTTTATATTATTCTCAACATTAAGTACGCACTAAATACTTTGAGGGGAAGAAACCACATACGCATCTATGAATACTGTCCTTTGTTCTATGTGCCTTTTTTATTTTAGGAGGAGCATTTTTCTTCATTGTGAAGAGGAAACCGAAACATTCGGATCAATATTCATTGAATTTAATGAGTAACTTTTTCCTCTCGTATGTTTTAACCGCATACCTTATTTAAAACGTCTCCAGGATCGTCACCGGATAATAAACTGTAAACTTATTCTCGACAAACCGTTAACTAAACGGAGCTGTCGAAAAATCTACTAAAACCTGCTAATGTGACATAAAATAGTGGAAGAATATAATATTTAATATGTGTTAATTTGAAATTCAGTGATTGTAAGATCAGAACATACAATTAAAGTCCACCGAGGAAACACTATCAATGTTAGATTCATAGATGCATTTCTTGCAATCGTTTCTAACAACGAGCGTGTTGTGAAAGTCAAGGGACCACTTTAAAGAGGCAACGACGGCGCGGGAGATAAATATCCTGAAAAGAAATCAGTCACATTTTCTTATTGACTTTCATGAGGTCCAAGAGTAGAACAACTATGACTTTAATCACAAGTCAGGATTTGATTTAGTAAACGGCAAGATTTATTATAGTTATGGCTTGATACGTCAACACTTATTGATCCCATCCCACATATTTCATATCTGATACACGCATCGGACTATTATTCTTTACTGCTGCATCAACTCAAGTTTAAAGTCTTGAGTTGCTGCTGAAGGCGGAGCGAGGTCCTCCGGTTAATCTGCCGCTTTTATTTTGTTGGAAAATTCAGCGTTTCCTCTCTGTAATTAGTATTCTAATGTTTTATTATTTTCTTCCCTGCAAATGTCCGTATATTTAGACTGTTGTATTACTATCCTTTCTACATTTTACAATAGAAATGTACTGTTTTATAGTACCTCAATGCAGGAAATAGATGGATTAATCCAATAAAATCTTTATTTTCATCTTTTCGCTCAATATTTGACATTTCAGGGTTTGTGATAAAAACACTACACAAATTCAACAAGAAATACTCCAAAAGAAGTCAAAGTGCGTCACGGCGGAGAATCACCTCCCGCCGGCTTGAAGCTGACGAACAAGTTTGAGGTTCTTGTTAAGTTGTGTGACGTGGAGGCCAGCAGACAGCTCCATAGTGTGTGAGCTGCCAGGCGTCAATGCTTAAAACAACAGGAGCCTCTAAAGCTCACACTCAGCCAGCATTGGGCTACCTTCAAAATAAAAGCCCGGGCCCCGTCCATGCCTTGATAAATCTGTGAATATTCTTCATTTTTTGTGAAATTTTCTAGACTCCTAACCTGAGCAGCTGTTGGTGTTTTGTAAATATTTATTTGACAAATACAGTTAAATATAATTGAATAATGCAATGTCTGAGTAATCTCCCAAGTTGTTTTATTTTCACCAAAACTGCTTAAAGTGACAACAAAATGGAATAACATACACTACATTATTATGAAACTGTTTGGCGTAATAAGTAGTCTACTTTATGTTTAAGTGGGTTATACTATTTTATGCTTTTGATTCAGAATCTGGGTATCTTGTGAAATAAGAAATAAGTACTTTTTCTCAGAGCAGAATTACCACAAAGTCCTGTCCTAGCCTATCAAAAGTAAAATTATTATTAATGTGCAGAGTGGGCAATTTCAGAATAACTCTTTATATTATGGTGGTATGATTATTATTGATGCAGCTGGCAAAGGTGGAGCACATTGTTACTGCTGCATTCACCACGTGATATATTAATGCATCAACGTGTATTTATCCTATTTCGCATCAATAATGTTAATCTGCAAATGACCACAATAAATAGAGCAGCAGAGAATATAATTCATTTATTTTTACATCGAAAATGATCAGTCAATTGAACGGCTCTTATTTTGAAGGCGCCCGCGGTAAGCGACTCGCCTCGATGCGCGCGTGAGAGAATCTCCACATCGACTCGCTGAGAAGACTCACTCCGCCTCCGACTCGGGATGGACTTCTAATCAACTACACAAAGAGCACAAAAGTTAGTTTTCATCCCACCGGAAACAGTTTGTAGAGGAGAAGAAGAAGAAGAAGAGCCGTTTGGTCGCCTTTGATCGTGGATCCGCACGTGATCGCCGGGAGGAGACGCGGCCCGATGCAGGCAGGTGATGGAGGTCAGCGGGGTCAAAGGTGAGGAGCTAGATGAGAAGGTGCAGACGATGGGATTAAAACGAGACACGTCTCTGTTTGTGTGAGAGAAGAAGAAGGAAGTATTTCCTCTAATACTTCACTGTACCACTTTTAAAGGTACTGGTTCACTTTTGTGTTTGTTACACAACTGAAAGCAATATTTAGGTGAAAACATTGACACATTCTCTATTATATAAGAAACCTTTCTTATGTTGGTCTTCCTGCATGGAACGGTAATTATAATCAGTCAATGTGGAGTTATTAATATAGGACTGAACTGATGTGGGACTGAATGAAACACATGATTTATTAAAACGAAGATTAAGTGTTCAGCGTAACACCTCCTGAAACATCTGTATTTTAAGCAGCTAAATGCCTCTTTGTGTTCTAACAGTGTGAAAAGTTTGTCCATAATAACTTATTTGATCATTTAGACGGGAAACAGGAAACAAAAATGAAATAGAAGCTTAAAGAGGCAAATAATACATTTAGAATTATTGTTCGGAATATACAAATGTGGATTGGCTTGGGTTTGACAATAAACAGGAAAGTCTCTTCATTAGTATTTGAACCCTGGCGTTGTGATGTTGAGGTGAAGTCACAACAAGAGCCACCTGATCTCATGAGGAATGCGGTTCTGCTGCGTTGTTCTGTCGCTGTGACCTTCGGCTGCTCCGGGGAGGCGTGTGTGTGTGTGTGTGTGATTGAGTCAAAATGTATCCACGGTCTGTGTGTTATGAGAAACGTGTAACCCGGGGCAACCGTGTTTTCTGATAGCATAAAACTTCAGGTTCATCTGAAGAACTTCTTCTCTTCGCTCTGAACTCCGAACACACAGGTTGAGTCCCGAAACTGAGAGATTACACACAGAAGCAGGAGCCTGCAGCCAAACACACCTCGGATTACAAGTGTGTGTGTGTGTGTGTGTGTGTGTGTGTGTGTGTCTGCGCATCCAGGGTGGGATGATTCGTGCTATTGGAAAAATCACTGCAACTCCCAGGAATGAATGAGTCACACACTTGAACACACATGTTACAGACGCACACAAACACGTACAAACACACACACACACACACACACACACACAAGAACACACAGGTCGCACAGAAGTTCCACGTGTGCCGGATCTACGTGTGTGCCTTATTTTACATCTAGTGATGCACGTGAATAAGATGAAGGTATCTTCTGTCTCTCTTGGCCTCCACCTCTCTGTGAACGATGCTTTATGAAAAATGCACGTCGAAGCGAAGAGGCGTTGCACAATGTGAATGTTCTCACTTCAGGGCGGGTCGTGTTCTTCGTCAGGAACAAACCACGAGCAAACATTCTCCCATCTGCTCGTTAAAGTCACTGACTGAATGTAAGTGGTGTGATGGCGTCACGCGGGGGACAACCGATCGATGGTGGACGAAAGAGAATGAATGACAAGAGGATTGTGAGGCCAGTGGCTTTGTGTACTCGTATCACATGGAGACATAATAGTGAAAACCTGACGTGAAGCTTGCAGGTGAAATAGTCGCGCGGGTTTGCTCGTGCAGGGACCAACACTCGCCACCAGGGGGAGCGCTGCACAAATCTGAAGTGAATTCAACATGTGTGGCTTGTTAGAGAGATACAGCCGCTCCTTAAGTCCCCGAATTAAGAAATAATACATGTGCACTGAGGATGTATGTGTTGTGTGTGGTTTTAATTTTCCCTTCACAGCATTTATTTGAAAACAATTGTTTTTTTATTTGAACACAGATCGCTTTTTGTGAGAGCTGTGGCGTTTACAGGGAGCACTTAATCATCGTCTTTCCTCCCCTTCTTCCTTCCTTCCTTCATCTCGGTTTATTTCCTTCTTTCAGGTCGAAGCTGCAGAAGAAAACTTCCACCTTCTCTCTTCTCTCTCCTGACAGCTGGTCCCTCAAAGGGGTAAGAACATTTATTCTCAGCATTGCAGAGGACTCTTAATTAAGACATCATGTAATATCATCTTTATCAATAATTAAGGATGATTATGGATCCAGTATCACATACAAAATGGAGAGAATAATGTTTTTAAATATTTTATTTGTGTTTCCTAGTGGTGTAAGAAGTACTCAAATACAAATACTCAGTTAGAAGAAGCATTGCATTCAAACTTTAACTTAAATAAGAAAAGTATTACCATCGCAAAACTAAAAGGAGTATCGATTAGCTCCAAACACCTCGGCTTCAGTCAAACAACCTGCGTGTACCTGCACTGACCCCTGACCCGCCAAGGTCAACCGTTGCATCTCCATCAGAAGATCAGAAGATATAATGCAAAGGACATTTCTGGACTAAAGGCCAACATCAACGTCTCCTTCTCCTAAAACCTTTAAAAACTCTAGTCTTATTGTAAGAAACATTCCTTTAACCAACACAATATATTTCGTATCTTTCTCTGCATGATTTTTATGAAACGAGTTGGTGTCCTTTGTGTGTCCCTGTCTCTGCTGCCGGTGTCTCCGCGTCTCCTGTCGCTCCTAATTATAGGAGGCCTTGTTTTCTTCCCCGACGACCGTCACTTCCTGTTTGTCTAATGGGAACTGACTGGACACACACACACACACACACACACATTGTGAGCGGTTCCTGTTCCTCAGGCTGTAGATCCACTCACAGGAGCTGAGGAGGTTCATATTGTGACTGAGGAGCTGGAGGAGGAGAAGGGACAGAGGAGGTTTTAAAGGTGGAGAAAAGAGGGAAGCAGAAGTAGAAGCGACTACACTGGAGGAGGAAGAGAGGGAGAAGCGTGAAGGTCAGGAAGAAAATAAGGAGGAGAAGAGGGCAAAAATGTGATTCCCCAAGAAGACTGAAACGAGGAGAGAACAGAATGGAAAGGAGGAGAAGCGAACGCCGACGCTGAAGGAGAAGAGGAGATCGGAGGAAGAGAGACTTCATCGACACTCGGCTGTGTTTGAGGAGCAGGTCCCTCCTTCATGATGGGCTGCTGTCTGTTTGTTTACTATCGGGTGAGTGTGTGAGGGATCCCAGAATGCGTCCCTGTGAGGGACGGACGAGGCTTCAGGCCTCGGGTCCATGTCGTTAGTGACGATCCACCGTCACGAGCTTCATGCTGCAATTCTGGGCGCTTTTCTGTTGGTTCGTGGTTTTTATTCGAGTATTTATTCAAATGAACATGGCGACCACAATAAATGAGACTCATACAATCGTGGACTTTTATTTCACGACATGAGAGCAAAGTAAACTCATTACTTCAGTCAGACTATTAAAATGAATAAATACTTTGTTATTAGGCTGCGACGCATTAATATCTTCATATGTGAGAGATGCTAGCAGGTGATTTTTTAAAATATTTCTTCATGCTACGCTAAGCTAGCTGTCTGCTGGTTTGACACTCAACGTATGTCAACGGTAATATTTAACACATATTTAAATTCTAGCCGTGTGAGACCTGTTTCAGCCAGTTGACAGGTGCCGTGGTGTTTAGAAGAATGACCTTATATGGGCTGGAGGAACAGACTCCTCCCCTCTGCCTGGTTTCTATAGCGACGGTGTGTTAAAGGTACAGCCTGCCAGGTTATACAACGTCCGGCCAACAACAAAATCCCAACACAATACCGAACAAACAGCAGACTTCCTGCTATGTGCCCTCCGCCACTGATCCCAACATCCTCGTCTCCTCGGCACGTCGGCCCCTCTCCTTGGCACCTCCTCTCCTCTCCTCGTCTCCTGTACCTGTCACTTCCACCTCTTTTTGTCTCCACCCATCGCTTCTCATCTCATCACACCGTCACCTTCTCCTCCTCTTATTATCTTCTTTTTCCTCCTCTCCTCAGCTACTCCCATTGTCTCCTCCACCTCTTCTCTGCTTGTCTCCTCCCTACCCCTCCTCTCTCCTCTCTCCTCTCAATGTATCCTCCCCTCTACTTGTCTCCTCTCCCCTCTTTCCTTTTATCTCTCACTCATCCCTATAAAGGTCTACTGTCTTACTGTGTTCCTTTACTGTTTCCTTATTTCCTCTCCTCCACGTCCTCCTTGTCCCTCCTCCTCCTCCTCCTCCTCCTCCTCCTCCTAACCACTTAGCTGTTTGACCCCAGTCACTCTTCCACTCTTTCTCATTAAGTGTTTTTATGTTTTTCTTCCTGTTTTTGTTGTCATGGCGCCCGAAGGACCTGTTTTGTTCGGACCAGCAGGGGTTGCCATAGTTACCACAGAGGTCACCTGATGGGACTGCTGTTTAAGTCACCAGGATCAAACAGTACAAGTATCCAGCGATCCACAATATAGAAAGCAAAGTGAAAAAATTGTATATTTTTGAAAAGCCTTCATATAAAATAATTAATTAAATTTAAATAAGTTGTAAAATACATTTGATGTAAAATAGCACAGTAGAGTTTTCATACTTTTGCAAAACTGTTATAATTTTGCAAAATGTATATTAAGAATATGAACTGATTTGATCTAGATCCATGCTTCCTACTAACACAACATGTGTGTGTGTGTGTTGCAGAAGAAGAGGAAGCAGGCCAGCAGGGATGCAGACTCTCTCAGCCTCTGCAGTCTTGACATCAACGTAAGTTCAGCTCCTCCAGCCGGACGTTGTGTCTCGGTGTTTCTGCTGCACGTCGAGCTTTTACGGCCCTCATATCCTCTTCTGACTGAAAGCTGTGGAGAAGCTGCTTATGTTCTGTGTTGCTCTTTATGTGAACCCTTGAGGTCTGACGGTGTGAACGTCTCTCCTCGTGAGACATTAGCTTTCTGAATAGTTTGAAACCTGCTTTATTTACATCAGAAAAATACTAATAAATACTAATAATGCAGCTTGCGTTCTTGCAAAATTATAAAATCAATTTTTCAATAATATGGAAGATATTTTGATCATATTTACAACTTCATATTGATTCAAAATATTTGATGACATGAAAAATATATATCTTATACACATCAAACAGATACATATATATATAGTATAATGTGTATATATCTTATTTTTCACTACGGAGTTAATATTTCACATCATAATATCTGAACTCCTTAATTGTGGGGGTCTCATAAAATAAATAAATAAATTGTATTGGTTTTACTTACTTAAGAAATTAACATTCATATCTTAAATGTCTGCATATAAAGGACCCAATTAGTTACAGCCAGTATTTCTCTTTCGTATCAGCATGTCTTGATTATTGTGCATTCGGACCCTCGGGGGGCCTCCACCCTCACCTTGGGCCCCGCCTCATGTAATTTTAGCCCTCTGCTGGCGGCCCGGGCGTCTCCTCTAACACAGGATGTCCACTCAGCTCCATGCCGGGTGACGAGCACGCCGGCGTCCTAATAACTTAACCTGGAATAAAAGAGCGCATTGTTTCTCCGTCGTTACTCCCCAGTGAGTCACACGTTGCGCCGCCGCTTGGGCTGATGCAGAGGTCAAAGGTCGCAACAGGGGCTTCATGTTGCACACTGGAGATGAATCAGACCAAAGGTTAAGATGTATCTCTCATTTCTAGTAAAGTCACAAAAAGTTTGGGGGTAAGAATTAAGTAATTATGTACAATATTTTATGATGCCTGATATTCTTAAAATTATTAAAATTATATTAATTATATTCTTATATATTTGTTTAGTAAAACCTTAACAATGAATATGTAATTGAATATAGACATTTTTTTTCAACAAAATGTGAACATGATATATATTGATTGTTACATTTTAATGAATGTCTCCAGATGAATTAGTTTACATTTGTTATTTAGAGTTGTCCACAATCTGTTTTTTATCAGATTCTTTGTCGGAAATTATAGGAAACAACTGGAACCGATCTGTTGGCATGGTAGTAACGAATAAAACCAACATGTACATGTAATACTGAAACTTTAGGAAGGGAATCAGAAGCACAGTTAACTAATTTCTTGAAAAATAATCAAATGTCACTCAAACAGGAGGAAATTTGTGTTGGGACGATTTTCAGTGGTGGATGAATCCACATTTGCTGCACTAGTGAGAGTTGTGGCAGCAGGACGGTGTGTGTGTGTGTGTGTGTGCGCGCTCATGGGCATGAAGGAAAATGTCACCCGGTTCAGCACTGATGTGCTTTCAATAGTTTCTGGATAACAAAGGAGCTCTTTGGCTCGGAGGAAGAAGACGTCACAATGAGGGACATTGTTGTTTGTTTCATCTCCTCAGGGGATTAGTTTAAATGAAGAAATCATAGAGAATCTCACCCATAACTAGACATGTATCGGTGTCAGCTGTGAGGGAAAAGGGAGCAAAGGAAAGGAACGGAAGGAAGTGAGTGTGTGAGGGAGGGAGGGAGGGGGGGAGAGCGTTCATTTTCAGCAGGAGGGGGGCGAGTGAACATCAGTGCAACATCTGTGGAGAAGTGTTAGGAGCAAACTCTTACCGGACTGTGGACACGGAGCCTCGCCGCCTCCCCAGACCTTCTCTTGGTGCTCCGAGTGGACCTTCTACCAGAGAGTCACCAGCCTTAGAGTCTGGGGGGGGTCCGGACCCCCATCTGGGCTTGGCGGTGAGCAGTATGGTGCTGGGGCAAAGGCCCTTCTTCCTGCTGGTACACCAGTTTAAGTCTGGATGCTCTGTGGAGGTCATCAAGGGGAACAGCGGCCACATGGGGAAACGGGTGGAGGTAAGATGGAGGAAGTTCATGTATCCGTAGTGTTTAGGTTGTGCTGTGTATTTCCTGCTCAGAGTGTTTCTTTGATTTAATTCATTTTCTGAAGGATTTCTAAATATTTTTGGAAGTCTGTTTCCTTTAATGCGCGAGGTCCGGCCCCAAACGTCTGCTTTCAGACAAACACACATCGGTGGTCGGTGGAATTCACCGTGCGGTGGCGTTCAGTAAAACACGTTGTCCCTCATAAGAGGACCTTCATAGGAACTTTTATGAGCGCAGAAGGACACGATGGACTTTGTGTCAACAACATCTCGGATGTAAAAACAGATTCAGCCGAAGGCCTCGGCTCAGTCTCACATTGTTTCCTCCGAGCGGTGAAGTGGCGTCCCGCTCGGACCCGAGAGAGGACCTCGTCTCGATGGTCGTCATGTGTCCTTTCAGCTCCGTT